TGCTGCTGCTTGTGCTGCTGCTGCTGCTGCTGCAGTGGTTATGCTGCTCTCCCTCCTCTACCAGCAAAGACTTTTCTGCCTTCTGTTGCTGATCCTCATTTCTTACAAAAAAGAAAAAATAAATTATTTAATTACCTACAGGTAATTATACTAGCTAGCTAGCTAGCTAGCTAGCTAGCTAGCTAGCTGGCTAGCTGGCTAGCTGGCTAGCTAGATACCAGTTTATTGCTGCTATTGCTGGTGCTGCAGCATCCTGCTTCTGCTGCAACAACAGCTCCTTGTTTTGTATTTGTTCCTGCTGCTGCTGTTGCTGCTGCTGCTGTTGCTGCTGCTGCTGCTGCTGCTGCTGCTGCTGCTGCAGGAGTTGCTGCGACGCCCAGACACGCGAATGTCTGAGGAGTTATTAAGTTTTCTTTGCTTAACTGAGCAGGTCAGCAGCAGCAGCAGCAGAAGGAGCAGCAGCAGCAGCAGAATAGCAGCAGCAGCAGGAAAGTAGCGCCACAAAGAAAGCAGACAGCTCCCCCTACTGCCGTCGCCACAGCAGCAGCAGCAGCAGCAGCAGCTGCTGCTGCTGCTACTTCTGCTGCTTTTTTGTTTTTGTTTGCATAGTATTGTGTTGTCTGTGCTGCTGCTGTTGCTGCTGTTGCTGCTGTTGCTGCTGCAGGCAGCAGTACACAGCAAGTGTTTACGTCCTCTATTAGTTGGTGCAACAAACCCTCAGAGGTTTGCTGTTTCTTCTCTTGTTAAGTCTTCCTCCTCTGCTATTATTGCTGCCTATGAGGTCCCTCTAAACCCTAAACCCTAAACCCCAAACCCTAGCCGTAAACCCTAAAGATGCAGACAATAGGCTATTATTACCACAAACCCTAAATAAACCCTCGGGGTCATATACCTTCCTTTGGCTGCTGCAGGAAACCCTAGGGTTTAGGGTTTAGGGTTTTTGGAATTAGGGTTTAGGGTTTAGGGTTTAGGGTTTGGGTGTTCAGGACAAGACCAGCATGAGCAGGCTAGGGAGGTTGTGGACACTTGTAGAGCCTGACGAATTGGGGATGTTGACTGTGTGGTTTGTTGGTGAAAACCCTAAACCCTAAACCCTAACCCTAAACCCTAATGCGCAGGCAGCGTATAAACCCTAAACCCTAAATTGCAACTACAACTTAACCCTAAACCCTTAATCATAGATGTATTGGGGCTGTTCTTCAGCTTCTAGGGTTGCGCATACAGCACCTCCAAGAATTAGGGTTTAGGGTTTAGGGTTTAGGGTTTAGGGTTTGTGTGGTGGGTGTACAGATCGCTCAACAAAGTCTCTTTCTTCCTCCTTCTCCAAGACATTCCCCTGCAAGGCAAGGCAAAGCAAACCCTAAACCCTAATTCCTCCGTTATATTGACGACCCTATCCTTTTCTCTCCTTGGGTTTAGGGTTTAGGGTTTAGGGTTTAGGGTTTGTTCCTCTTCCTTGCAGGTTAGGAGTGTAGCCTTCCATGCGGAAAGCAGCCGAGTTCTCGTGGGTCTAGACGGTGAGCAATTAGGGTTTAGGGTTTAGGGTTTAGGGTTTAAAGGATTTGAGCATAAGCTGCATGACACTACTTTAAGGGCCTAGGGTTTAGGGTTTAGGGTTTAGGGTTTAGGGTTTGTGTCTGCAGATGGATCCATCGAGAGCCATCAAATGGATTCGGAGGGGAGGTTAAAGAAGGTACGGCTCTAAACCCTAAACCCTAAACCCTAATTCCTAAACCCTAACTCCTAAACCCTAAGAGTTAAGGTTGCTCAACACTAAACTCTCAGCAGTTATAAACCCTAAACCCTAACTTATAACCCTAGTACTGCCGAGAGAGAAACGTATATAGTACGCAGGGCTTCCTAGGGTTTAGGGTTTAGGGTTTAGAGTTTAGGGTTTGGATTGTTACATGCGAATTTGCATCGTGCTTGGTCAAAGTTGAACCTTGTTTATGCTGTTGCTGCTGCTGCTGTTGCTGCTGCTGCTGTTGCTGCTGCTTCTGTTGCTGCTGCTGCTGTTCGTGCTGCTGCTGCTGCTGCTGCTGTTACATTTCAGGTTGCAGCAGCACAGATACATTCATGCCCAATTGTGGGGTTGTCTGGGCTAGAGAGCAGCAGCAACAACAACAGCAGCAGCAACAGCAGCAACAACAGCAGCAGCAACAGCAGCAGCAACAGCAGCAGCAGCAGCAGCAACGCCGTTCTATCTGCTGGTGTTGACGGCAGCATAAGACTTGTTGATGGTCTGTCTCCCCTCTTTGTCTCCTTTTTGTCTCCTTTTTGTCTCCTTTTCTTTATTTATTTCCTTTTTGTCTCCTTTTTGTCTCCTTTTCTTTATTTATTTCTTTTTTGTCTCCTTTTCTTTGCTTATTTCTTTTTTGTCTCCTTTTCTTTGTCTATTTTTATTTAATTGTTTTTTTTTTTTTTTATTTGTCTCCTTCTTATATAAATATAAATATAAATATAAATATAAATATAAATATAAATATAAATATAAATATAT